GCCCACCAGCAACGACACTTGCCCAGACGCATATATACGGCGCCTCTCCTGCCGCACCCCGTCGCCTCCTCGCGCATGAAGGAGCCGTCGCTGCGCGCGCAGATCTGGCAGGCGCGCTCCATCGCTGGGAAGACGACGCGCGCCTCGATCTTCTCCGTGGCCAGAACAACGGAGCTGAGCCGCATAATGCGCCTGATGAACAGCCCATTCTTGGCCGCCGCTGCAGCGCGAAAGGGTCGATGGCGACGCGGCGTTGCGCGAGCAGCGCATAGGCGGCTGCTCCGACGAGGGAGGCGGACCTTCTGCTGGCTCGACGGCCTTCGACTTCACTAGGTCGACGTGCCTGACGGGCACCGGCGCGTCGATGTACTCGTCCTGGTCGAGCGTCGCTGCGCCGTCGGCACTGCGGCGTTGGAGGGCGCAGTAGTTGGCGAAGTCGTCGCAATCACCCTGCAGTTTGCCGAAGACTCGCTCGACGTGGCCGAGGAGGCGGTCGACGCGCTACCGGAGTCCTGCGATCTCGAGATCATCGACGCGCAGAGCATGAGCACTACCTCTGAGTCGCCAGCACCACGGGTGCCGGACGCCTCGCGCTCGACCTCGAGCTCCGGGCCCCGCCGCGTCGGCTCGGCGTCGCATTTGGGCGAGCGCGTGACCTGGGCGCATCTTTGCAGCCCGTGCCTGGCCAGATGCAGCGCAGGCACTCTGTCCGCTCGTCGAAGGACTCGCGGCCTGGCTGTCTGGGGATGGCCGCGCTGCCAGGCGGCAGGGGTAAGTTTACCTCTCTCGGTGCCTCGCCTTGCTCCTGCATGTCGGCATGGGTCATTCCCTGCAAGATCGCTATCTCGATGTCCGCGGCGGCGCGCACCTGGTCCGGGCGACGAACCGCCTCTGAGGACAGAATGCGCTGAGACGCCCGTTTCGCTGTTCCGGCGAACGTATCCACGCCTCCGGCGCCCGTGTCGCTGAAGCCCCTCAGCGCCATGCGGCAGCGGATGATACCGACGGTCTTGCCGCCCGATCCCAGCCAGTGCTTTCATGCGGAAGCGCGCCTGGAGTCCACGACGTCCCGAGCGCCTTTGAGAGGGGGTCGCTCGAAACACTTGCACTTGACCCAGATGGCGAGCCTGGTCAGGAGATCGGCGTCGCGCCTGATTACCGCAGTCTCGACGGCGGCGCAAGCCTGAAACGCGGCTGCGGCGGGCTCGCCGGCAGATATAGCTGCCCTCGCGGCAGCTGAGAAATGTCTCCCGCGCTCCTAGGTCCAAGTATGACTTCACCTGTATCCCTCCTTCATTCTCCTCCTCAAGCTTGGCGCAATCCAAAGAGGCGCCGCGCAGGCAGTAGTGGCGCTGCGCGTGGATGCGCTGGCTATGGTGCTGAGTCTCCAGGTGCTGGGGCCGCTCGCGCTGTCTGCGGCCCACGACCCGCGCTGGCGGCCGCGTGCTCGACGGCGACGTCGACCATCTGCTGGCGGCTAGGGCCCTGCAGCTCCTGCAGCTCCTGGATCAGACCCCCAGCGCCCTTGACCACCTGCCAAGCCGCCAACATCACCTGTTGAATGTGGCCAGAAAAACCGCCGTTGGCCTCTTCGGGCACCGCCGACAGGGCCGATGGTTAACCACCCTCGGCGACGCTGGCGGCTTTCTCAGGAACGTCGATGACGCAATCGTTAAACACCCCGCCCCAGCCCTGCCCGGCGCCGGTTGCTAGCAACTGTTCGTCGCCCCCAAGACAGACTGGATGAGGCGAGCATCCTTCGACTGCTCGCCGATGAGGTTGCGGGCGTCGAACTTGACGCCGTCGAAAACCAGTTGGCAAGCGTCGTCTGGGTTCCGAAGGAACCGCCAGATGACCAAACTGCGGTTGCAGCCCAGCAAGTCGCCCACATATTTCTGACCGCGCACGAGACGCGCGGCACGCACAGCACGAACGTCTGGCAGTTATAGACATATGCGGGACAAGTGGCGCAGAGCATGGAGGGCATCAGGGCGTCGCCGAGATTGCTCAGTCGGCTGCTTGCCCTGTTCGTCCTCCCAATAGCCGAAAATCCGGGCTCCTGAGCCTAGCGCGATGTGCTCTAGAAGTCCCCCACGCGAGATGCCATGCCAGGCCTGCCCGCGCCATCGCGGTGCCCATGTCGTTGAAGACGGCGCCGATGAAGGTCCGCGCGCCCTGCAGTCTGCAGAATATGCGGCGCTTGACCGTGACTTCGCCCCTGGCCGGGTCCACAGAAAGAACGGCGTCAGGACCCGCCCAGCCTGACGCGTGTTTCGTGCTAGGAGGCCGGTGGATCTCCAACTGATCACCCACGTTGAAACGCCCTCTCCGGTCTCGGTGGTGCGTGTCTGGAGGGCGCGGTTGACGCGAGCGATCGAAGTCGCCTCGATCATGCGCTGCACGGCGATATCACGGATGCGTCACTGCAACTGGCTGGGTTGCACTTCGCCGCCGGCAACGGGCCTAGCTCTGGCGACACAGTCGCCCTCGCCCTCCTCGTCTGCATCGAGCGGCAAGGAGGGCTGCCCGCCGAAGACGACGTTGCACAGCGCAGCGCCACCCGCTTGGGTGAGATTGCTGCCCGCGAAGCTGGAGTGGCCAGCATGGAGCCGAAAGTGACGGTGATGTCTTCGCGCTCCAGCTGCTCCTCGGTGGTGTGTAACGCGCGTCGCAACATTGCACCGCGTCGCTCTATGAAACCATCGTGCTGCCTTTAAGCACGGATGTCCACCTGGGCTCCTCTCCTTCTCATCTGGTCTACGAAGTCCTTGGAGGTCATCCCGCCTTCGCCGTCCACGACCAGCCCGCTGCTGCCAGCAACGTTGGGTCACACCTGTCCGTGATATCCTGGCCTTTTCTGCCACCTTGAGGCGCAGCAGACCAGGCACAAGATCACGCGGTCCCTGCAGGAAAAGATGTCGCATTCAACTTGCTGGTTGAATCGTGTCGGGAGGCGCAGCGTGTGCGAAATATTGGCGTGCTGGTGGTAGCCATTCATGGCATTCCCGGCAGTTGTTGACCACTGTGGGGATGAGGTCAAGGATTACCAGTGGCGTGTTGGCTGCACGCAGTGCTCGTACCATCTCCTCCTTAGTGTCGTGCCACCACTGGAGATGTAGCTTGCGTAGATCTCGCATTCGTGTCTCGTGCGAGTCGCCACGTGGTGCTCGTAGTGATGTGAACAATGTCGAAGCGAGTCCAGTCTGCAGGCGTTGGGCTGTCTGCAGCAGCGCAGGCAGCTCGTGGTGTTGTGTGCTGCGCCGGCTGCTGGACTGGCTCGTAGTCGTGGGCCAGCAGCACAGTTGCCGGACCACTACCCTGCGCCCCAACGCTGGTGGATGAACTGACTCCTGGCGTGCTGGATGGTGCTGGCGGTAGTGCTGCCTCGTCTGCGGCTCCGAGGCCGGCTCCTCCAGGTAGCTGAGCCTGTTGATCGCTGGTAGGGCGTGGTCCTCCAGGTCGTGCTGGTGCTCGTGGATGTTGGCGAGTGCGCGGGCGCGGTCGTGCATGGGGATCCGCGAGCGTGCACTTGCCGAACTCGTGCGCGCGTGCGTGCTGGATGGTCGCGTTCTTGCTCCTCACGGCAGCCGGGGCATCCCCAATGGATTGGGGCGCTGTGAGGGCACAGGCAGGCGGCCGGGTCTCGGGAGTGCATAGGCGAATCGGATCGCACGTTGCGTCGGCACGCCTTGCGCGCGTAGCGCGCACGCTCAGCGGCCATGGCGCTCCTGATCTCCCCCTCTGGTCGGGTTGGGCGTCGGGTAGGGCGTCGGGTTGAGCGTCGGGCTGGGAGTCAGAGCGTCGATGATCGTCGGCTGCGACATCGAGACGTCCTCCACTTTCGGCTCGTGCTCCTCGCCGAGGGCGAAGGACGCGGGAGAATCAGAAGCGTCGGCGTGCCAATCGTCCTCGGCCATGCCGAGCTCCTCGGGCTTGCCCTCAGCCAGCGGAGTCGGGGGCGCCCCAGGGCAGAGCGAGCCCACCTCCCCAGGCACCTCACCGGTTTCCTCCTCCTCCTCCTCCTCCTCCTCCTCCTCCTCCTCCTCGAAATCGGGCACTTCAAAAGCCCCGTCGGCGTCTGTGAGCTCTGGCTGCGCGCCCTGGGACGACGGCGGCGCGCCACCGTCGTGCTCGGGCTCGAGCACGACGACGGTTTTCCTGCGCGGCCCGTCCTCGTGTCCCCGTGTCCTGCGCTTGCCGCTGGACCACGGGCCGGCGTCGGCGAGCGGGTCGAAGCCTTTGGGGCCCTTGGGGCCCCCGTGACACTCGGAGGCCTCGTCGTCGAAGGACTGGCTCGGGGGGGGGGCGCCCTGGCCGCAGGGCGACGGCCGCAGCAGCCTGGACGCACCTCTGCCTGTGGCTCTGCCGGGGTCCGACATCCCCTCGGTCCATCGCGAGATCTGCAGGCGTGTGCTCGCGGCGAAACGGAGAGTGATGGGGAGTGTCCGCCAGCGCACGACGCGCTGGATAGATCGCAAGAGAGATGCCCGCTCAGATGGGACCTGTTTCCCAGCCCCACTCAAGCCAAAATAACAAGGGAGGTAGGAGGAGGAGGAGGAGGAGGAGGAGGAGGAGGAGGAGGAGGAGGAGGGGAAGGAGGAGGAGAGTAGGAGGAGGATGAGGAGGAAGGATACGTAGAGAGCAAGAGAGAGAGAGAGAAGAAGAGAGAGAGAGAGAGAGAAAAAGAGAGAGAGAGAGAGAACAGACAAACAAACAAGTAAACAAACACGCAAGCAAGCAAACGAACCAACAACAAACAATGGGAGGAGGTCACCCTCTGGAGGTGATGCTCCTCCCGTCCCCCAGAGATCCGATGCCTTTTTTTTCCATACGGGGTCCCCGGAAGTCTCGACCCATTCCCCAGGACCGGCTTTTCATCCCGAGTCTTTTCTGACGGTCCCGAGGCCCGGCGAGGGGGCCCCTGGGGGCCGAAATTTGCGAAAAACCTCTGTATGGTTTTTTTTTCCCAATGCGTCGGATCTCTCTCTGAGCTCGCCTTTCTTCCGCCTCGCTTTGCAAAAAGCTCGCTGTCGGAGGCCTGGTGCGTCACCCGGCGCGCGTCGCGCGAGGAGGTGCGGGGAAAATGCCCGAGCTCCGACGGGCGGCGACGTCCGCACCCTGCCCTCAGGTCGGGCCTGTCCCGAGAGCGGCCAAGAGGGGGGGTGCCCAAGAGGGGGGGGTGCAAATCATGACCGGCGGCATGTGCGCGGCCCAGCGGGGGGGCCTGGGACGTAGCGAAATAAGAAGAGGCGCCATGAAGTCTGAGGAAAAATCATGGCCCGCGCCATGAAATCCCCCCCCCCCTAGTCATCACCACCCTCTTTTCCGCTCCCGACTACAGGCGGATTTGGGGCGAAAAATTTAAACATGCCCCAAATAAAGAACCAACAAATGCTCAAAAATACTACAAAAGTCGTCCCCTGACTATGTTCTGATTATTTTTTGAACATCCCCCCCGTAGAGAGGGACCTGCCCGACGTGACCCTACTCCCACCAACCGTCGAGCCTCCCGAATCCATGCATGGGCAGGAGAAGAACAAAAACACACAAACATAAACTTTTGGCGCTCCGCGCGGCTTTCTTGGATTCGCGCTTGGCCCCCCCCCTGGCGCGCGGAGCGCGCCAGGGGCGGCGCCGGAGGCGCCGCCGGGGGGCCCGGGCGCGGATCCAAGAAATCCGCGCGGAGCGCCAAAAGTTTACGTTCATGTGTTTTTTTTCTTCTTCGAATGGGAGGCGGAGGTAGGGTTCCGATCTCGCTACGTCTTCGACGCATTCCGAACCCTACCCTCGCCGCCCATCGACTTGTCTGAGTTCGGTGGCGAGCCCCGGGGAGGACGCGAGAGGGGGCGGGCCTTCTCGGAAGGCTCGGAGGTCCCCGGCCTTCCGACCAGCTTCCTGAGAGCCTCCCCCGAAGACGAAGCAACATTCTCTGGAGGCCCGAGGGCTTCTGAGAAGCCCCGCCGCCCTCTGGGGAGGCCTCCTCCTCCTCCTCCTCCTCCTCCTCCTCCTCCTCCTCCTCCTCCTCCTCCTCCTCCTCCTCCCCCCCATCGGTGCGCCGCCGAGATTGGTTTTCGGTCGGAAATCTTCTGGCCCGGGTCAATCCAGACCCGGGCCAGTCAGGCCTTGCAGAATCCTGCAACATCCTGCAGGATCCTGCACCCAAGCCCGGGTCAGTGCGAAGGATCCTGCAAGATCTTGGGTGATCCTGCACCCAAACGCGGGTCAATGCGACCCTGGCCCTGCAGGATCCTGCAAGACCCGGCGCTCTGCCGGACCCCCGTTTGAATTGCGGATGCCACGACAATGGACACCCTACCAATCCGATCATTGGATTTTGTTTTAAAAGTGTTTAAACTGTCGGAACCATGTTCTGAGCATGTTTCAAACATGCTTGCTACATGCTTAAAACATGCTTAACACATGCTTTAGACATCTGGCAACTATTTGGCAACCTGCTTCAGAGCGAGCAACGACACATATGTACATGTACGCCCTCCGCGGTCTCGAGTGCACGAACGTCCTCGCTCAAACGCCCTCCAGGGGAAGCTGACCGCGTCCGCGTACCTATGTTGCTGGCCTCTGAGCTTCCTCTCCGCTGATCGTCCTCCACAACGTCTGCACTGCCCCCCGGCCTCGAGGCCCCCGACTCGGGTCCTATAGCTCGGGTCTCCAGCGGCCGCTCGGGACGGCCGGGGAGCGCCCCTGGAGCGCCCTCCCGGCGAGGCGCGGCCACGCGAGCGCACCCCGAGGCCGGAGGACCGCGCGAGGACCTCGAGCCCGAAACTCCCAAACTCCGAAAACTCGAAGGCTCGCCGCCGATGGATCGTGATGCATCGGCGAGTCCTGACTGCCTACCAGACCACCCCAGCCCAACCCGAAGACCCGAATTTCGGGCTGGGGGGGGGTACGGGCTTCATACGTGTTTTGTTCCCTGTTACCCGTCTCACCCCGCCCCACTGGAAACGGAGGGCAAATCGGGGCCTTCGGGTTCAGTTAACATAGTTTGATGAGCAATGCCATTCGACTGCACGCAAGAGCGACCCTGGGCAAGAGTTACGTGGGGCATGCCTCCCCCCCCCACAGGTGGATTTTGGACGAAAGCTAACACACGAATCGAGAAGTGCTCCAACAAGTGCCCCCCTCTGGAACTGGACGAAAACTAACCAGTGCCCCGGGTGGATTTTGGACGAAAGCTAACACCTGAATCCACAAGTGCCCCCCGCTGGAAACGGAGGGCAGCTCGGGGCCTTCGGGCTGGGCTCAGGGTGGCTCGGTGGGCGGTGCAGCCCAGGGCCCGGACGCCGCCGCCGACCAGCGCAGGGCCCCCCCCGTCGAGGGGGGGGGGGCCACGGAGGGCCCGGCGCCCGGAAGAGCAGGGCGGCAGACTCAGCCGCGAGGCGCGCGCACGGGGCTGCGCCGGCACAGGGGGGTCGGAGAGCGAGGCGGGCCCGGAGGGGGAGGGGGAGGAGGGGGATGAGGAGGAGGAGGAGGGAGGGGGAGGAGGAAGGAGGTGGAGGGAGGAGGGGGAGGGAGGAGGAGGGGGAGAGGGGGAGTGAGGGGAGAGGGGGAGGGGGAGGTTGGGGAGGAGGAGGACGGAGGAGGGGGAGGAGGAGGAGGGGGCGGGCGGGGAGGAGAAACTCCGCGTCGCCATCCTCGCCGTCAACGTGGTCGGAGAGCGAGGCGGACCTGGAATGTTTCGGAACGTTTTGAGAAGCACGACGTGCAGAGGAAGGGGGAGGGAGGGAGAGAAGAAAGCAGCACCCGCGGTGGTTGCCAAACTAATGGCCGCCCCCCGACCCTGGAGCGGACCTGGAGCGGGCAGGGGGCGGGGAAGAGAAACTCCGCATCGCCGTTCTCGTCGTCATCGTGGTCGTCGTCGTCGTCGTCGACGACGACGTCGTCTCCGCCGCCATCGTCCTCGTCGTCCTCGTCGTCGTCGTCGCCTTCGTCGTCGTCGTGGTCGTCGTGGTCGTCGTGGCCGTCGTGGTCGCCACCGCCATCGTCGTCGTCGTCTCTGTCGTCGTCCTCGTCGTCCTCGTCGTGGTCGTCCTCGTCCTCGTCCTCGTCGTCGTCGCCGCCATCGTCGTCGTCATCGTCGTCGATGTCGTCGACGTCGTCGTCGTCATCGTCGTCATCGCCATCGTCGTCGTGGTCGTCGTCGTCGTCGTCGCGGCCGCCATCCGCGTCGCCGACCTCGTCGTCAGCGTCATCGTCATCGTCGTCGTCGCCGTCATCGTCGTCGTCGTCCTCGTCGTCCTCTTCGTCGTGGTCGTCGTCGTCGTCCTTATCGTCGTCATCGTGGTCGTCCTCGTCGTCGTCGTCGTCGTCGACACCGCCATCGTCGTCGTCGTCGTCATCGTCGTCGTCGTCGTCGTCTCCACCGCCAACGTCGTTGTAGTCGTCGTCGTCGTTGTCTTCGTCATCGTCGTCTTCGTCGTCGTCGTTATCGTCGTCGTCCTCGTCCTCATCGTCGTCGCCGTTGTATTCGTAACCGTCGTCGTCGTCGTCCTCGTCGTCCTCGTCGTCGTCGTCGTCGTTATCGTCAACATCGTCGTCTTCGTCGTCGTCGTCGTCCTCGTCGTCGTAGTCGTCGTCGTCATCGTCGTCCTCGTCGTTGTCGTCCTCGTCGTCGTCGTCGTCGTCGTCATCGTCGTCGGCGTCGTTGTCGTCCTCGTCCTCGTCGTCGTCGTCGTCGTGGTCGTCGTCATCGTCGTCATTGTCGTCCTCCTCGTGAACGTCGTCTTCGTCGTCGTCGTCGCCGCCGCCATCGTCGTCATCGTCGTCGTCGCCATCGCCATCGTCGTCGTCGTTGTCGTCGTCATCCTCGTCGTCCTCGTCGTCTTGGTCGTCGTCATCGTCAACGTTGTCGTCGTCGTCGTCGTCGTCGTCGTCGTCGTCGTGGTCGTCGTCGTCATCGTCGTCCTCGCGGTCGTCGTCGTCGTCGTCGTCGTCGTCGTCGTCATCCTCGTGGTCGTCGTCGTCGCCGCCGCCGTCGTCTTCGTCGTCATCGTCGTCGTAGTCGTCGTCGTCCTCGTCGTCGCCGTCTTTGTCGTCGTCGTGGCCACCGCCATCGTCGTCGTCGTCGTCGTCGTCGTTGTCGTCGTCGTCGTCGTCGTTGTCGTCCTCGTCCCCGTTCTCGTCGTCGTCATCATTATCGTCGTCGTAGTCAACGACGTCGTCGTCGTATTCGTCGTAGTCGTCCTCGTCGTCCTTCTATTGGTCGTCGTCGTCGTTGTCGTCGTCGTCATCGTCGTCCTCGTCCTCATTGTCGTCGTCGTCGCCGCCGCCACCGCCGTCGTCATCGTTGTCGTCGTCGTCATCCTCGTCGTCATCCTCCTCGTCGTCGTCGTCGTCGTGATCATCGTCGTCATCGTCGACGGCGTCGTCGGCGTCGTCGTCGTAGTCGCCGCCGCCGCCGCCGCCGTCATCGTCGTCCTCGTCGTCGTCGTCGCCGTCGTCGTGGTCGTCAACGTCGTCAACGTCGTCGTCGTCGACGTCGACGTCGTCGTCGTCGTCCTCGTCGTCAACGTCGTCGTCGTCTTCCTCGTCGTCGTCGTCGTCCTCGTCGTCGTCGTCGTTTTCGTCGTCCTCGTCGTCGTCGTCGTCGTCGTCGTCTTCCTCGTCGTCGTCGTCGTCGTCGTCGTCGTCGTCGTCGTCCTCGTCGTCGTCGTCGTCGTCGTCGTCGTCGTCCTGGCGGGCCCGTCGCGATCCCTAGCTGGGGCCCCCGGCTATAGCCCTCGAGGGCGGCCGCGGGGGAGCCCCCGCGGTGGCCAGGGACCTCGCCGCCCCCGCCGGGCGGCGACCCCGGAGCACCACGCGCAGCCCCCAGAGGCCGCGGACCGGAGAACCCAGGAGGAATAGGAGGAGGAGGAAGGAGGAGGAAGGAGGAAGGAGGAGGAGGAGGAGGAGGAGGTGGAGGAATAGGAGAAGGAGGAGGAGGAAGGAGGAGGAGGAGGAGGATGGAGGAGGGAGGAGGTGGGAGGAGGAGGAATGGTGAAGGAGGAGGAGAAGGAGGAGGAGGAGGGGAGGAGGAGGAGGAGGGGAGGAGGAGGAGGAGGAGTGGCGAAGCCCCGGCGGCGACCCCGGAGCACCCGGAGTCCGCGGACAGGAGAGCCCAGAACCGAATCGATAGGTCGGACCGGCGATCGACGGGAATCGGATCGGCGGAGATCGGCAGCGGAGTCGGGAGGAGTCGGATCGGCGGAAATCGGCAGGCTTGCATGCGTCCGAGAAGAGATCGGAACCCTCATCGAGATCCCAAGTCGACTCGAATCGGAATGGGGAGCCATCGAAATCGAATCGGATCGAATCGGAGGCGTCGAAATGAGCCCTGCGCGGATGAGCTCGGGCCTTGAAGGGAGGTGCGCAGGGGGAGGAGGGGAAGATGTGAAGGGGCCCTGGGACACACAAATAAATAGACACAAATAACAGGATTCCCCTCATTTTCCCATACATTCGGGTTTTTGTCTTCCCTGCCACTTCCCATAGTTTCCCATCGATTTCCGGGGAATCGACGAGTAATTGTGCCCGTGTGTCCTTTCCCCTCCTGAGGAGGGAGGAGCGGGAAACGAGGAGGGAGGGAGGCTGACGACGTCTGCGAGGCTGTGGGCCAGGGAGGCTGGGACTGTGCGCGGCGTCGTGCGCGACTGCTCGCGGCCTCACGCGTCGCCCCAGTGCGTGGGCCCCGGAGGTCTTGCTGCGCGATGTGAGCCAGGCCGTGCTGGTCGGCTCCTGGCACACGAACTAAACCTAAGTCGGGCCTGTCCCCCTACAGGGCGATTTGGGGTGAAAAAGCAGAGAATACTCCCGAAAATGCTTCAAAAATAATCCCCAGACTATTTTTGGACTATTTTTGAATCTTCCTCCTGTAGAGGGACATGCCCGACTAGAACTAAAACGCAGAACCCGCCGCCGCCCCCCCCTGAAGGGGCCACCTGGCTTCGCGGGCCAAGTCAGCATATGCCATCGTATTCTTGGAAGGTGATCTGGCACGGAGAGTTTGACGTGTTCAGGCCTCCTGCCTCTTGATTTCTGTGGAAGTTGCTGCTGCACGAACTCTACCAGGAAGGCTTCAGTTGTCGTCGAACACCTGCCCCCCCTCCGCCCCCATGGAGGTGAACAAAAACACGTGCGGCTTCAATGCAAAAGCGTGGCATAAAGTCCTGAGCTCACAGCCGAGTTGCCCCTGAGCCAATCAGAAACATCCCTGACCGTGGACACCCATGTTTAACTCAGGGCCCCAGGAGGCCGCCAAGGCTGCACGGTAGAGAGCGCTGACAGTGGCCCAACATCGACGAGAATCGTTTTTTTTCAGCGGGTCTGGAATGGGCTGGCGTCCAAGCTGCCGCTCGAAAACTAGATTTTCGGCGCCAAGTTTTCATTGCTGTTCCAAGGGCGTGGCTCGAATGAGCCGCAGGCGACTTACAATGCGGACGCGGCCGCAAGAAACCCTCGCAAGACACCTGCCCCGGAAAATCCCCACGCGAGGTGCAAACTGGAGTGGACCCGCGAAGGTGTCCTGAATGATGCAGCTCCTGAATGGAACGCCGCGCAACACGCGCAGCGAAGAAACCCAAGGTGCCCAGACGAAACGCATACTTGGCCGCGTCCATTCTGCAACGTTGTCAATGTGCGGCGGTCGCACACACACACCCACACCCGTGTTGGCGGACACTTGATGTGATCTGTCTCCAAACCCTCGGCCCAACGGGGCCGAGGTGACCCCGTGTCGGCCCCGTGACCCGACGGGGCTGGGTGACCCCATGTTGGCTGAGACCGAAGCTGGTGGGCTGGTGGACCGATGGGCCGATGGTCTAATGGGCCGATGGGCCGATGGGCCGATGGGCCGACGGGCCGACGGGTCGACGGGCTGATGGGCTGATGCGCCGATGGGCTGGTGGGCTTCCTGAGGCGCGCCCCCACCGCAGAATTGCCGCCCTGGGCCGCGCCTTCGTC